GCATGCATGATTAACAAAGTACAGCTGGTACAAAGCCTGCTTCTAAAAGTCTGACTGGTACCAGACAGAGGGAGAGTGTACAGCAGCTCTAGGTTTCGCTTGTTTATGCTGGTTGCCATTCAGAATCTGTGTTTATTTAAAGTTGTTCCTTTTGACCTATAAACTCCTGTGGAATTGAGGTTCAAGTTACCTTTTGGTGGCTGTATCCAGTTTTGGGAGCTGGCTTTAATCTGTAATTACTGTGACATATGCTGAAAATCATACTATGAGATTCTGAAACTTAGGGGGGGAAAATAATCTTTACAGAAAAATTATAAATTGCTAAGTTGCTTTCATAGCCAAGCTCTGTTCATTAGTATCAGCTGCATTCTGTTGCTGTTACTCTAGAATTTTGTCTAATATTAAATTGTAACTCCTTGGAGGCTGTGATTAACCCATGGAGATCATAGGCTAATCTTAAATCTCTGGTGAATGTAAACACTCTGTGTATGAACAAGTTCTGTACTAGAATTTATATGAGTTGATATATGCTGTAATGTTAAATTAGAGTTATTGAGTACTAGGTTATGCTGTACCTAAGGTTTGGGGTGGTGGACTGGTGCAGGAAGGACTTGCGTTGCTGGGCGCATGTGCCGCAAGTGAATTGATTGTACATTATGCATTTTGGATCTAAAGCAGATGTGCGTGTCCTTTATGTGAGTGCAAGTACTACTGTGGTACTGCATGACTGTATTAGATATAGTTAAAATATGTTTGAGGGAAGTGAAATGTTTGAGAGAGGTGAAAGTCTGTGATGGTGTGAAACCAAATTCATTTACAATATGCGAGATCTTAATTATTTTTATATTTAAAATTGTTTGTGATAGTTTTGATGAATGAGTAAGACTATTTTTAGTAGTTAACCAGAGCTCCAGTACCAGATCCGTTTTTGTTTTAATAAAATAGTCTTGCCTAGCAGAAAGTACTACTTTATCAATCCAATACATTTACTTTGCTTTGGCTGTAAGGGCAGAGAAATGCAGAGAGTCCTCAAAGATGGTAAACCTGTCTCTTTTTCTGAGGTTTTCTGGATTCTGCTTCTGGCTCCTAATTTCTTTTACAATGATGGCTTTTTAATCAATGACAGAGTATTAAGAGTTTACTTCCTGCAGTGACTCATACATAACCGGCAAAGCAGCAGAAGAATGAAGATTAACAATTTCATTACATGATCTCCGCTTTTGCTACTAGTTCATGTTCAGCCTATAATATTCAAATAAGTAAAACAGAAATACATTCTCAAATCACATATGTGCCTGTTGATAGGTAAACTGTAAGTCAGTTTTCTTTGTAACAACTTCTAAGGACTTATTTACTAATTCAATAGTAGAAGCTGATGAAACACAAGCTTATATGGATGTGGACTCAGTCTCTCTTTAGGTGCACCTGGCCAGACATTTTAGAAATGCAGTTGCTTTCAATTTGAACTTTTTAGTGAGCAGCTTGTTGTGCAGGTGGTTGTAGTAAGCAGTAACTACCCATATCTACTTTAGTGGAAAAAGGATGGGTAAAATTCATGATAAAAATGAGGATGCTACACCACAGAGTACACCATATTTTTAATGTTCCACACAGACTCACCTTTGTGTTTTTGTTCTGTTGTGACTGTGTCTGAAATATAGCCATGCAGATAAGAAGATCCGTAAATGCATTGCTAGCTTATAGTTTACACACATACATCTCTTTGTGTACAAAGAATTTGTACACAAATACAAGAATTTTTCAAAGCAGGCAAAGAATTTGGCTCCCAAGAATTTTTCAAAGCAGCCAAACACTGAATTTAAAAAAAAAAAAAAAAAACCCTTCATTTCTGTCAAACTGCCCATGAGCAAAACTCATTTGCAGGAATTTATTACATCCCTAGCTAAATGATTGATCTTTATCTCAGCATTTTTCTTCTAGGAGTTGTAAAGCTCATACATAAGATAAACAGTCACACGTATGCCTTACAGTCTTGTAGTAATAAGTAGCATCTTGGTAACAGTATCTTTGACTGTGTGTGCTTTTCATGTTTTTATGTCTGTATATGCTGGCTTCTTCAGAAGATATGTTGAAGTTCTGACAAATATGAATAAATTCTGTTTTTTGTATTGTGTACATGCACTTCCATAGCGCTTGTACTAAAAGTTTGAGCCTGTTTTGAGGTAACGGAAAGATTTTTCTTTTTAATTTTTCTTTTTTTAAGCATTAAACAAATGTGATTGACCACAAAGGTGCCACCATGTGTGGATTTAATATGAACTTTTCTGGATAACCATAGTATTTATCACATGTGAGATACTGTCTGGTAAATTCTTTGTGCCTACTAGGCACTTCTGAATACTTCAAAAGAAAAACAAAATATCATCTTAAAATATCTTTAAAGAGGGATAAAATGGGACTGCATCTATGCTTTTCGAACTGTCAGCATTTTCTGCTCACTAGCTGGTATTTGCAAAATTCAAGGTCACTGGTAACTTTGAGTATCACTACTGACGTTTATAAATTTTTATATTGCATTATCACTTTTTTCATCAAGCATAGAGAAATATTGCGACCTTCACTGCTAACTGCTACATTTGTTTCTTGCACTATTTTCCTTGTCCCTCTCCTTTCATATCTCCTTTCACATATCACTATCATCGCTTTCGTTTGCATCTCTATTTTTCTTTCTTTTTTTTTTTTTTGGGGGGGGGGGGCACTGATTTTTAAAAAGTATTGTTATATACCCCTGCTGTAATCAGGTGCTACTGATGAATGGCTTCTGTGCCATGTCATTATGTATGTGGTCGTTTGTACCTGCTTGTGTTAACAGTCCTTTGAATATGAGCAGAAACTTAGAGAAGGCAACTTTTGTTTCCGAGTAATTGCTTTTTTTTTAATATGCCTGCCTTTAGATTTATTTCATTTAATCTACTGTTTTCTTTTCCACATTTTATTTTAAAAAAAGTGTAATAAAAACAGCTTTAGCCTCCTTGAAACGTTTTTAGATTTAAAAAAAAATCTTTCTAACTGTCACTTTCAAGTCCATTCAAACGACTTTTCATTTCATACAGTTTTAAATATGATCTCCATTAGCTGGTTCTAGATTGTCTGTCCCCCCCCGCTTGATCTTAAATGCAAGGTACTGCAGCTTTGCACGTGTGTATAGTACATTTTGTATAGCAGTGGTTTGTCTAATGGGTGAGCATCACAGAGGGATTTTATTTTGCGTTCTGAATCTGACTTTGTGGCCCAAAAAATGAAGAAATAGTTTTAAAAATTTCTTTATTGAGATTAGTTTTTGAAAATGGGATGGGACTGGGACTATTGAACTGAGTAGTGAGTGGACCTGGTGATGTACTGGAGGAGCGTGGCGGAATGAGTATGGCCAAGTGTGAAATTCATATCTGGACTGAGAGAAGAATATTGTCATGTTTTCTTTAAAAAGTGAATTTAACTGTTTTTAGCATGCTGATTTAAAATAAATGGAATACATTTTCTATATGAGTATATTAGAAAATACTTTTTAGTTTTAAGAAACATTGTAGCAGAGAATCTCCTTGCACAAGAAATTCACTGACATGCTATCTTTCTGCAGCGTAAGACTGAATAAAAATAAACACAACATGCTGTTTCTCCCTTGGGATATGCCTCCTTTTCCTTTGTGTTTTGTATTACTATTGACAGACAGGTCAGTGTATTCTGTTTAGCAGGAAGATGATTTTTAACTCAGGATTTATTTCTGTGTCTATCTATGTGTCTTCCTCTGTGTGTCCATGTTTTTATACCGTCACTGAAACTTCTTTTTAACTTTTTATTTTTCCCCGGATAAAGCTTTGAAACACAAGGCCTGTTTCATAATTTTTTTTTTTTTTTAAGCCTCCATGTTACTACTTTTGAATAGAGCATTTCAAACACATTTGCTCTGCTGATGAAATGAGAAGATACTTTATATAAAATGATATTGGTGATCTGTGCACAAACATACAGAACTCTTAAGACTGTAAACTTAAGTATAGAAGTTTATAGAAGTCTCTTTAGGCTTAAAAGTATAAGTCATCGCACTTCCTCTTTGTAACGATACTCAGATCAATTTCTTGAGATTTTAATTTTAAATGTGAATTTTCCGTACTGCTGGGGAAATAAGCTAGAATCTGTTTTAGAATAGCAGTGTGCAGTTATTTTTTCCACCTTGTTTGCATATGTGAAATGCTGTAGCAACATGTAGCATGTGCTGTATGTACTCAGTCAGCATTATCTGAGCTCTGTGTAAGTACATACAATGCATAAGAATGAGATGACGATATTTCCCCAGTCATTACTGAATAGTAGCAGACCCTGTGAGAGTGCCTGGCAGCGCATCTCTAAATGACAGATTTGGCAAAGAAGGCTTAAAGCAACAGCACCTTTGCTCTTGTTTGTATTGGCTCAGCTGTAGCCAATACAACTTTAGGAACTTTACAACTCTTATGCCTTGTGAGCAACAGAAATAAGAAATTGAGTGCCTGCCTCTTAGTTATTCAATTAATATATTAATTACTAATGCAAATTAAATAATAGTTTTAAAGACTATACGTTTAATAATGCAGTATTTCAAAGAAAGAGATCCATCTGTATACATCTTCTGACGGAGTATTATTAAGCTGAAATGTTACGATTCAAGCACAATGTAAAAATTATTGAAAGATTTAACTCTTATGGAAACATTCACAGTGACACTGTTGATTAAAAATTAATGCTAACATGTTTTGTCATTTTATTATACTTTGCTGTGTAGTACTGAAATCAAAATGCTAAAATTATTTTTATTTAGATTAGATTTCAATCTTTTCTTTCTCAGATATACTAGGTGTGTCTATAATAGCAGATTTAGGTTAATGACAAGTTACAAGTATATATTTACATTTTGTTGGAATGTGAGCTGTTCTGCTATGCAACACTTACTCTAGTAAACAGGTTAAAATTATGTCTCACTGAAGAAATGAATATTCATTTTTCAGAGGCAGATTTCCTCAGAAAGATTTAGAGGCACTGTTTCCTGGGATGAGTGCTGATTTCACTAGTGAAAACTTTTCTGCTGCCTGGTACCTGATTGAGAATCATTCAACAACAAGGTTTGTTGCTGTTATGTTGTATATAATTGTTTTAATAACATCAAATATACTTGCATTTTCATTACAGGCTAGAGGTGTTGGTGTTATAATAATAGATCGATTTTCCTATGCGAGGAGGCAGTTGTCTTACTTTAGGTTAAAGCCCACCATGAACTGAGAAGTTAGACAGCATGGCCTTAAACAGGAACTCCAGGTGTTAAGTTACGACTATAGCCTCAAGCAAAGGGCACCGAACAGACTAAGAGTAAAACAGTTAGTGGTAACAGTTAGCTTTTAGCCAGCAGTTGTGGAAGATGTTATAGCAGAAAAAAGTTGGACCTGTGAGTAAGATCTTTGGGTTAAATCTCTTAAAATCTTGACCATTAACTTCTTCACTTTTAAGTCTGGTTCATAATAATGTGTACTTTCATAGATGCATTATAGAAATACCTATTTACGTGATAATTGAGCATGCTCAGTTCTGAAAAGTCTGTGTGCTTGTGTTTGGATAATACTGGACATCATTTTAGTGGAGAGAATAAGTCTTCTTTTGGCTGGATGTTCTGATATCAGTTTGAAGAGAAATGCCATTTTGCCAATTTATGTAATATTTTTCATTATCTAATAGTAGAAACAGCACTTTGGGTTTCTGGGGTTTTTTGAGCACACCAGAACATAAACATTAATCTGCCTGGGAAATACTTTGATTTAATCTCAAGGTGATGGTGGACTGAGGAGCCAGAACAACAGCAAAACAACATTATTACCTAATACACGCATGATGACAGCATCTTTTGAAATAAAGTGAGAGAAGAGAAGTGATTTAAAAATAATTGTCCTTATCACACCTGACAGCTACTTCAGGGACCAGCAGGTTTTTTTAAAAGTCTAGAAGATGATAAAGTGAGAGGGAACAGACAACTTTTGCTTTTTAAGAAGTTCAAGTTTGGCTGTTGGACTGTTACCCTTTTGTCGCTCATGCGCGTGGGCATCGGTGACACTGCCACGAGAGATGTAGAATAAATCAAGGGTAACTGGAGAGCCCTGGAGACAAGGTGAATCCCAGGTGGGAGTCCACATGGTGTTCTCTTTGACCTACAGGTAAAGGTTCGGGTAGTTGTGGATGCATCCTGTGAGTTCACAGCTGGCTGTATGGCTGGTTTCATGGGCAGTGCTTTTTACTTTTATAACGGTGGATCCTTGATTGAAGAATGAGAACTGTCAGTGAGAAATGGGACCACTGGAAAAGCTGTGCAAGAGCATCCTTGCCAGCAGACTTGCAACCTGGTGGCAAGGACTTTAAATTAAGAACGTCAGGACTGTGATAACAGCTTGCAGTTAAGTGAAGGAGTTGAGGTCAAAGTGCTAAGTATATGATCTAGTGATGGGATTGAGAGAGCCCTTGGGAAAGACCAAACCAGTCGAAAGGGGTGCTATCTCAAGCGCCTGTACACACATGCACACACCCTTGGAAATGGATAAGGGGAGCATATTATAATCTGTTCTGCATGTGGATTTAGAATATAGCACTACTGGAATAAACTGGGATATGGTAGGACAGCTCATGCTCATGTGCTGGAATTCTGTAATGAATGGGAACAGGCTTTTTGGGAAGGACAAGCAGGAAGAGAAGAGGGAGTTGCCCTTTGTGTGAAGGAGCAGCTTGAATGTTTGGAGCTCTCTTATGGAATGGGTAGCAGGATGGTTGGGAGTTTGTGGGTCAGGATCAGAAGAGGCCAAAAAGGATGACATTGCAGTGGGATGAGGAAGTGGGCAAAGTCTCCTTCAAGGAACTTGAGGAAGTTTCCAGATCACAGACCCTGCTTCTTTGAGACTTTAACCTCCCTGATAATTGCTAGAAGGGCAACAGAGCAGGATGCAAGCAATCCAGAAGGCTTCTGGAGGGTGTTAGGAATGATTTATTAATAGAGGTGCTAGACAGGCCACCAGGGGTGATGCTTTCCCAGGTCTACTTGCAAGCAAGATCAGGGATGTGATAATCAGCGGCAGCCTTGGCTGTAGCAGTCATGAAATAGAGGAATACCAGGTCCTAAGGGGAGTGAGGAAGGCAAGCAGCAGAGTACAGACCCTGGGTTAGGCAGCGGTAGTACAGAGGAGGATCTGGTGCTCGTAACATGCCATAAATTTCAGTTCACACTCTAGTACAAAGCATCTTCTGGGGTGTATCACCACAACTGTATTATGTAAGATAAGGGGAAAATCGTTCTGCTTGTCATTATTAAAGCTGCAGCTGAAGCGCTCTGCCTAGTTCTGGCTACCATGCTCGAAGAAAGGTATTGAGAGCTGAGCCACAAAAACAGGAGTATTTTAATAACTAGTTCATTTTGCGACAAGAAAGATTTAGATTAGATACAGATAAAAAATGACATGAGATTTCCTAAGCCCTGGAACCAAGTAAATTGAAAAACTCCAGAATCACGATCACTGGAGGCTATTGAGAATTGCTTTGACAGGTATCCATCATAGGTTACTTAGGTACATTTGACGGTACCTTGGATCCAAAAAGTAGATTAAATGACTTCTTAAAGCTGATAACGCTAACTTGTTTATCAAAATTACAGCAAATTATGAGCAACAGCATGATGTGACCGGGGCTATCTTACATCTCTAATATGACAAGGTGGCAGTAAAAATAGTGGTCATCAACGCTACCAAGCAGTTGATAACCTAAGTAACTATATTAGCTTGTACAGCCACTTTTTAACTTGTACCATGCCAGTACTATGTCATTGGATCAGTGCCTGAAAGTCAGTTCTGTAAATTTGAAGCTTCCTATTAAGAAGACACACTTTGAATATTTTCCTTCCAGGATCAGCTCGCGTTCTTTTTCTAAGCTTGGAAAGGAAAAGTTCCATCAATTTGTGTCCCTGTGCATCAACATATTGAAGTAATGGTCCCCTCAGTTCAGTGGAATAAGAAGAATTGATTTTTGTTTTTAAGTGGAAACTACTTCTCTTTTTGCATGTTCATATTGATTTAGAAAAACTAAATCTTAAAGCGTTGAAGGTGTAAAAGTTGTGTAAAACTGTCAATAACAAGAATGGCTCAAAGAATAAGATGAATCTGATCATGTTTGGAATCTACTTATAAATAGGTTTTTAAAAAAGCAAAGTTGATTCCTTTTTTGCACTGGCAATGTTTACTTTTGGAAATATTCTAGAATCGCTATTAATTGCGGAATTATCTTGGCCATGTCATTGAAGCTCTTTTTCCAGAAGCATACAACAACTGTTCGGCTCTTGTCCTTTGTGTAACCTCAGGTATTAGGAGTGCTAAATATGTGGTGTGCTGATGTTTTGGTTAGCTTATGTATGTTTTTTCCTTGAGGGGAAATTCTTTTTAAGCAATCAAAATAATGTCTTTTTTTGTCCTGACAACAGCATGACAAATATAAATAAACTATTTAGACATGCTATTAGTTCATCAGATAAAAAGAAACAGTGCTTAAAAAGAGAACAGTACAGATTTTTATTAGTTTGAAAGTGCTGCTGGTAAGTACTTCTTGTACACCCAAGCAGGCCAGTTCAGCCAGTAAATAACGTGATTTTCGACCAGCAAATAGAAAGAGGAAATAAAACATCATGTCCATAACAAAGGAGCTGTCTGTAAAAGCACCAGTATTTTTATCTCCCAGCAGGTGGTGATAGCCTTCCTACTGCCTGATATAAAGTTTGGTTCCTTCTTGTAATAAATAGTTTTCTACAACTGATTAAAACTAACAAAGGCCTTCGGTGGAATTGTCTTAATTTCCTTGTTTAACTGTTTTCCCTTTTCACTCTGAGGTGTGGTAGAGGGTTTCATTTGTGGGTGGGGTTTTTTTTGTTTTTTTTTTTTCTTCTGTATAAGGGGGATGGGGATTGGCCTGTAGGTGGGAAAAAGGATTTTCCTAAGGATAAAAATCCTGTGTTATATTTGATATTTCTGAGCTGCTGTATGGTGGTGACTTTACAGTGGATCCAGTAACATAATTAGTGAGGCCATGTTCATCATCAACAAAAAATGGTGTATAAATAATGAGTCAATCATGAATACAGTAATCAGATCACTTTTAAAATAATTGCAGCTGATTGCAAAAAATAAAAATATGAAATCAAATATAAACTGGCAGTGATCTAACACAGAAAGAAACCCGTCTTAGGCATAGCAATGATAAGTTGGATATGAATATTCCACTTCCTCAAAAATAAAAAAAATTCAATGGACTGCATATAAAAAGACATACTTTCATAAAGTGGGAATCCGTTCAGCCGCTCTTTGTTTTTGCTGTAATACTCTGTTTAATTCTGAACCTTATGTCCCAACTAACATAAAAGTATTGAAGGAACTTAGAAACTGAAAGTGGAAAAGGATTGTCGACTAAGCTGAAGAGTTAAATATTGGAATGGGAGAAGTCCCTTTAATACTGACGTTTGTTTAATCTAGTGTATCAAATGTAGGGATTTAGCATTGCCCATTTAGTGTAGTGCAAACAGTTAGCGAAGAATAATATTACATATTGAGAAGAAATGTCTTGATTGATTTAAACTATAACAAAGTCTCTCCCAACACAACTCTCCATATAGGATTTAAAAAAACCCACAAAACTTTAATTCTCCAGACATGTAATGCTAAGAGAAAATTGTCATTATCAGGAAGCAAACTGGATAGCAATCTCTCTCTCTTTAATAGTTTCTGTGACAGTAACCAGCTTTATTTTGCAAATATTGGGTTTTGTTTATTCATTGGTTGACCCTATTTATTGTAAGAATGTCAGTGGTATTTTTTTGTTTATTTTCAGTTTTGATCAGCTCAAAACGGCAGTTGTGAATCTGAAGAAACAGGCCAATAAGAAAAATGAAGGGAGTCTAGCTTACGTGAAAGGGGGTCTCAGCACTTTTTTTGAAGCACAAGATGCTCTATCAGGTAAATTAGACTTATTAAATACAGTATGAAAGAAGAAATGCTATTTGCATGTGTAGTTGACTGCAATATTAAAAACATTGTATTATTGTTCTGTGTAATATTTTCTGAAAGAATGCGATGAAAAAATCCATATTATGTTGGTCACAAGCTAGGACTGCCTAGCTGATTGTTGTGGTCTGTCTGCAAGAGATGGCATCAAAAGTATCTGATGGGAGTTGAAGGCATTTGATGAAACTGTGTAGCCCACAAATCCAGTAAGGAGAGGAAATGTTGAGCTGGAGGTGATGTCAAGATGATCTACAAACTATAGCAACATAAAAACTCCTATGTTATGATACCTTATCCTATAATCAATCTATAATACTTATGTATATATATTCACTACTACTCTTACTTAAGTAATCAGGCAAATTTTTTTATTCCCCTTACCAAAGGGAACATGCAAACACAGTTTGTAGTGAGATTACATTGATTGTCTGTACCATTTATACACATACGCAAAGCATAATACGTCTCTCAGGTAGAAGCTTATGAGCCATCAAGGTCCTGCCTGGTTAGGGACTGTGCTAGATCAGAAGGTGACTGTGTTAGGCGTTTCCTAATAGCTTTGGCATTTACTTCTGTGCTGCACTCCGTAACTGCTGTATATTGCAGGATAGCCACTCCTGATCACGGTTTCTGTGTTATAGGTACCATGGAGTAAATGAACATATCTACTCATAGCCTTAGCCAAGCTAGCACTTCTGTTGTTTTTGGGAACACAGCCTTGGATAAGTACCAAATGGATGAGTCAAAGGGAAGTTTGCTGTTGAACCATTTACAAGGCAATCACTAACCTTCTGCTAGTCCCTTCCATGTGGCAGGGAGAACAGAAAGTAGTGTTGTCTCACCTGGTGGTCCACCTGTACTCCTGGCCCAGGCAGATGAACCTGTGACCTGCCCTCTGCTGCTGTGACAGCATTTTCAAAAGTGGTTTTGGTTACTTAATTTGCTCATTTTTAGTTTAGAGAACTTATTTTCCAGAAGCGTGGACATATATGCTTTGATAGGGGAGACCTCTTAAAGACCTGAAGTTCATCGCAGAAAGAATTTGAACTTCTAGCTTTATTTCCCCACCCATAGTTGACCTATTACTGATCAATTTTGAAAACCTTAGCCTAAATTTGGATAGGACTACAATACCCAAAGCGAAAGATATTGAAGAAAGTGGTTTTAGTCATATGAAAAGACAGTACAAAGAATCAGTATCTTGTTATCTTTGTAACTAAGTTTTTATTACATGCCAAGAATGCAAAATGGTAGGCTATTTTTCCACAATAGTCTTAAATATCCTGAAAATATTGAAATCCTTATCCTTATTTATAAATAGTTTGAAATCCTTATCCTTATTTTATAAATAGTTTGAAATCTTCAGTACTTCTGAACAAATATTGAAAATGTGACTTATTTTTCACATCCAAATCTGCTTTGCATGTAGAGCTATTAAATACTCCCAAAGATTTGTAGTTCTGTTCCTAAATCATTACCGTTATGGATAAAAAGTACTGCTGGTGGGCATATGTGTTATCTTGTAACGTTTTTTTTTGTTTTTTTTTTTTTTGGACTAGCAAAGGCTTAGTAGGATTTATAGAAAGCTAATGCAAATCATAACTGTTGTGGCCTTTTAGAAAGACCAAACACAGATGGTTGGATTTCTTTGTCCCTTCTTTTGAAGTGTAAGCTTCTTGCCTTTAAAGACTAATTTCCTGGTAAAGGGAGAGGCTGGAGAACTAGTCAGAATGTAAGAAATATTAGTAAAGTAATGATAGGAAGAACTAACTCATTTATTTAACCAAATGTTCTGTTCTGTATGTAAGAAAACGGGTAAGAGCAATAACAGGGTTTTGCATTTCTTATTTGTAAGAGTGTTGATTTTGTGTAAAATCAGAGATCATTTGTGCTGTCCTTTAGCTGAATTATGAACTTAAAATTTGGGATGAATGATGTGGATCTTAGTGCCGCTTCATGTCTGCAATCAAAATGGCATGTTTGTCTTTTTCTCTCAGAGATCCTCTGTAAGTTTTCAAAAGGAAAAAAATGTGTAGCTTGTGCCATTCTAAACAGTGAATTAAAATATTACTAAGAAAGAATGGCCTTGATGTTGTTGTAGAAGAAAACTAAAGACTTTAAGACTTAATCTCTTATACATATAAATCAGTAAGACTGGAGTTCAAGGGACTTGTAAAATCAATAAAGTAGTTTACAATATTTAATACAGTATTTATTTTTAACTTCTGAAGCCACACTCTTAATGAGGATTTAGTGCAGATCACAGCTGCCTTCTGTAGCATTTAAATTTTCCTTTCTCCTGATGAAGTTTTTTGTTAATTGCATATAGAGAAGTGTTTTTTTGATTCTTTTCACTCCATACGTACATACATAATGCAGAACTTCTCATTTGTCCTGTCTTCCCATATATGCAGAACGTTTTTAAAGGAATCTAGCTGGAAAAAAGTGCTTATCTTTTGAAAGACTGGTAGCTATGACAGTTACAAGGAACAGCTTAGATAGATGTGGAGAGAGTTCCAGTAGCAGCAGCAAAAAGCATATCGAGCAAGTCAAATTTTTTCTCCAAAATATTTGATTGCTACAGTTTCCTCCAAAGAAAGCTGACAAGTATTCAGTATAAGCGTTATTAGCGTTGTTCTAGAGAAATGGCTCAGACGTCAAAACTTGGGGGGAAACAAAACAAAACAAAAACAAACAAACAACCCACTACCCAACACATGAAATCTAGGCATCCAGTTAGGAAATTTAAACTCTCTAACAGAAGAGCTCTCATTAAATTAAAAATCTTATTACACCGTGGTTATACCATGCTTGTACAAGGTGATATAATGCTCCTTTTCTATTCATACACAAGTAAAAGGGAATTTGTGCGTCTTACTTTCTCCTTTAGAAAGGTTCAACCAGAATTTGTTTGTGTTTAAACAAAGTCACATCAAAAACAGTTTATATTTGAAAGCTGAAATGTGGTTTCAGCACAAATTCTTAGGGACGACGGATTGGTTCTGCAAACTGTTTCATTTATAGCTGCTAAGCACAAGTTGTCACAGACAAGAAGCAACTCAAGAAAATCGTAACTGATCACATCTAGTTTGTTAATCTTTTGGTACAGTTTAAATGTCCCGAGCTTGTTGAATTTTTTTTGCCCACTTCATCTAGGAAGGTGTTCTGAAATCTACTATGGTCTCCAAAGTCACATTTTTGTTGGTAGAGAAAAACTTAGGCTGCCAATTTTTCCCTCCAAATATCCTAGAACACTTCCTCCAATCCTGATGATTCTTCTTTGCAAATCATAGGTCTGTTGCATTTCCATGTTGCTATCTTTTGTTGTTGTAGAGCAGAGCTATCTATGTATGGCCATTTCTCCTAGCTCTCCCTAAATTGGTGCAGGATGTTATTTTTTGTAGGACGTTAAGAGGTATAACTATTTACCAGGTATTTTGCAGCTCTTTGTTTAACATATATTTGTACCTGCTTTTTCAACTCGTACACTTTTAAAAAGGTTTCTTTCAAATATATGAACTTGGTCTGGGATACCCTTAATTGCTCATTTTGAGTGTAGCTTCTCTCATTAGCAGGGATCAGTAAGATCAGTCTTATTTTGAGTGTGCTATCAGACTGTATCGCACATTTAAATTAGTTATAATCTTTTCGCAAGTAAGCAACTAAAACCATAAAAAGTTATACCAAGATGCTTATTGTATTATGTGATTTAGAAAGTGCTTACTAAGAAAATAAGAGATCAAATAGGCCAGAACCCTTGCCATTTGGTTTAATCTCTTGAAAAACAGAATTGCCTTATCAGATCCTCATGTCTCTTTGTCTGTTAGCTTGGCTGACAGTTTTGATGGTGACTTTGCTGCGGAGGAGATGTTCAACAGGAAGTTTGTTTCATCAGCTGAAGGGAGCTGTAAACTGAGCTGAGGGGAACTGGGCTCACCTCAACTTGACCCGCTTGTCAACATCAGGGACTTAAGCTGATTTATTTCCCATAATTCTAATTGCAACCTAGAAAGTAGCATTCCCAAAAATCTGCTGTTTCTATAATTGTAGAGATGTAATGTTTTATTGTCATTAGCAAATGATGTCCCACCCAGAAGTCTCTGGAAAGCTAGGAAATGAATTTACTTTGAATATACTTATACTTTTTCTTTTATTATACTTCTACTATGTACTTTTTGAATATACTTTTTTGTGAAGCGTTAGGCTACGGAGTTTCTTTTTGTTTAAGAAAAAGGAAAAGAAATAGGGAAATGGCCACTTCACTTGCTCAGTTATGTGAAAACATATAAGTATTTGAGAAGGAGGGAAGATGCTACCTTGTTTTGGAAACATGGATATGTTGAACAAATTTGAGGTTTATATTTGATGTTCCGGTTTGTCGTGGCAGCAGTTCTTCTGATGCAGTGCAACTACAAACACGTTTTAAATAATTGCCAGAAAAACTCTATGGGAAACAGACTGCTAGTTATCATAGCTCTATTCCTTTTCTTCTTTCCGCTTGACTATGTGGCCTTCAGGAAAGACAGTATGATGGAGTACTTTGGCCATAATTAGCCTTTGTCCAGTATCTTTCCTAATACATAAGGTAGGGTAACATTTGCCTGGGTGGAATGATGCTCTATGTGGCCAATGCATGCTGCTGCTTCCTATAGAATATTTCTGCATGCCATCCGTAAAGCCAGCTCTAGGATGAGCATGTCAATGAACCAGGATCCAGCTCAGTATGAGTAAACATGTTGTGATGGCATTACATTTGTTTAATGCATTTTCTCTAAAACTAAAACAAAAGAAACCACTGTCTTTATTCAAATCTGAGTCAGATTAAGGATTTGGGAAGCTAAAAGCTGATGTTTGTCTGTCATATAAACGTTCCTTTGCTTCTGTTTCTTAAGTATACTTCAAAAGCAGTGTTTGATTAGACGTAATGTTTTTCTGAACTCTGGGGTGCCGAG